CAGGTAAGTGATATCCATCCCCTTTTAATATTGGATTTTTTATGGCTAAAATGGTCATTGCTTTATTTTACATGGGAAATAAAAGAACATGGGTAAATGCATTTACCCAGGTAAGTAACTTACCGAAAAACGAACGGAGCCTAAGTGATAAATATTATATGGTATAAAAAGGTCCTAACCATGACATAAAGTTCATAACCATCTTTTTTTTTTCTTTTGATTGATATCCCATTATCTAACATTGCTCCTGTCTATCTAGGATTTCTTTTTTGGTATTCGATGTTATGCACCATTAATAACTTCCCCCTAACCCCTTTTCCCCCAAAGTATTGGTTAAGGGATTTGATTCCACATCAACACTGGAACAAACCAGTTAACACACCAACGAGTCAACCCTTGATAGATTGGATTAAGATCAATTATAATCCAACCCAAGTTATTAAACCCCTAATCCTAACCTTGACCCAACTTCTTACTAAAATCTTTTCATGAACTCAAGCTTAACATATTAAGGTTAATCCATTGGAAATATTATATGTGTAAGGACATAGTTGTGATGATTTAGGAGTATTATATTAATGGTAAAAAACTTTGCCTTTGAACTCAATTGTTAATACATACATACATACATACATACACATTAATCTTATCCTAACTTGGCAACCCATACATACAAATACATTCTTACATTATAAGCATAAATGCATATTTATATGATATTTATACATATAAATATGAAAACATGTCAGGTTGAGATTGGGTAGAGTTGCCCAATACTTTAATCTAGTGGTGGCCACAAGTCGAGCTTTTTATGAGCTACTTGAGCCCAGGTCATAAAAAGCTCATTTTGGCTCGGTCTAAACTGAGCTTTGAGCCAAACTCAAGCATGATATGTAGGCTCATTTGCTAATTGAGCTTTTACATACATACATACATACATATAAAAAATAATATATATAAATAAAAAATATTATATATAATATTTTTATTTTTTATATATAATAATAACTAGCTTTTTATAATTCTTAATTTTTCATATATCAAATAAAAATATTTTTTATATGTATAATTTTTTATTTTTATAAAACATTTGGCTCACAGTCAAGATCGAATTTACAAGCTTTTGACTCGAGCCTAATTCAAGCTCAAGTCTCTAACTCGAATCGATCTCAAGCTCAACCTAGCCTCATAGTTTATTGGCAAGCCCAACTCAAATAACTAGATATTCGGCTCAAATTGGCTCAAATCTATCCTTACTTCAATCTTATTTATATTTGTCAACCCTACCCAACCCAACTTTTTCAAGTTGGATTCAAGCTAACTAAACCCTAATTACAAATTTACTTGGGAGAGGTATGCAACTTTAGTATAAAGTGGCCACTCTGAGACTTTTTTTTTTTTGGTACTGACCACTCTGAGACTAAAACCTACTTTTTCATGCTCATTTGTCCAAGAATTTACTACTATACCAAGCAATGGACTTGATTCTTAACCACTAACATTGGGTAGAAAATGCAAGTTAAACTTCATGTCTTCAACTAAACAAATCACTTCTATAATTGCCTGGATACATGAATACATGAATCTTGTCTCATCTTTCCACTCTACTAAGGGGCTATATCTAATTATAAAAATGCTAAGCACGAAAGTTTCATTCTTATACCCCTTACAAATCCATCGTATGCTTGCTAGTTGCATTAACCAAGAGATTGTTTTTGATATTCCACTCGTTGAATTTGGACCCAACAAATCGTCCAAAACTTCTCTTTCTACAAACTTTCAATGGATAGAAATTGTTGGGTGATAAATGGATTACCAAATCAAGAACACATGCTCCATAAATTAAAAATAGGTATATTTTTGGCATGATTAGGGTTGGAAAGGTCCAACTTGAGCATGACCCAATCCAATTTTATCTTTTTGTATGGGTAGAGCCTGAGTTTTTCAGGGCTTAAGGCTGAGCATGTGCCAAAAAACTCACACCTGAACTAAATGTGGGTTGGGCTTGGGTTGAGGCCTAGGTAGCTAATTCAAATAAATGCATACATGCTATGCATTTTATTTATACACCTATATAGGTATGTATATGTATATGTGCATTAGTTAATGATATTTGTGCATAGAGGTGCAACTTGGACGGGTTCAAGTTAATGTTTTGTCAAATTTTGAAGGGCCCTACTACTAAGTTGGGCCATAGAGGTGCACCCCTATTTATACATATTCTCAATCCATTCTACTCCTAAGTTGGGCCATAAGGCCCAATAAAAATGACTATGTCAATTACAAATTACCACCCTCGACCTTGGCAATAGTAACACAGCCCCCTATACTTCTATTTTTGACAAAGACCCCCTAAAATTTCAAATTCCCATACTCCCCCCCCCTAACTGGATTGAGAGAAGAAGTTAATTTATTAAAATACCCTTTTAGGATTCACATGAGTGAAAGGACAATATTTGAAAATAACAAAATGGCTAAGGCAAAGTAGGGTATCATTTGACGAATCTTTTTAGGAATATCTTGTGGAGGCCTATATGACCAAAAGATGTACAGAGCTTTTTTGGGGTTGGCCTTGTCTTTAAAGATCAAGACCATTTTTGTAAGTGGTTGGGTTTATCAAGCTTTTACAAAAGGCTATTTATTGTATGGAGTGACCCAAAAGATTCATTTGAAGTTCTTGAGTGTAGGCAATTTTGATCTTTTGGGGTCTTCGTAGGCATGTGTCTTTTGGTCTTCTCGGCTTTTTGTTACCAAATGGACAAGCATATCAAATGTTGTCTATATAATCTCTTTCTTTCCAACTTTGGGTGAGAAAGGAGAAGAAATAAACATAAGTAAAAGCTTCATACAAAACATGTATGCCCCATTCTTTCTTACTTAATTGGCTAAGTAGGTTTGCCTAGATAAGTGTTTTTCAATTAAAACTTGCTCGGGTAAGTGAGGCTCCATCGTTTTTGTGTGATAAGTTACCCAGGTAAAGAGAGAGGTGGGAGGGAGGGAGCATTATTGATGCACAAGTAAGTTGCTTACCCACCTTGTTGAGTAACTGATACCCTATGATATCTTCAATTATCGTGAAACTCAATATAGCAGCAAATGAATGCAGGGATCATGATCAATTTATCGATTAACCAATTTACCCCCACTAAATACCGACAAACAAACAAAGCCATAAAGGAAAGGAAAAAATGGTCCCACAAATTAAGAAAATGGTATTTTGGGGTTTAGAAATGTTTAATAAAGCTTTTGACAGTCACATAAGAATCTTTTATCAAAGTTAATTGACATTGAGAGTATATTAAAGAGGGCAAAGTACAAGATAGTATAATGTAGTTCACCTAAAAAATGTATTCAAGATCCAATCAACATGAGACCAAACCCAACTTGAGTTGTATCCAATGTCTAGTAAACTAGACTAGGCCAGCCGATTGAACCCCAATAATTGTATTTGCTAAAAATGCAATGAAAACTGGTGGATCAATCCCCATTTCATGGAACCACCCCATACCATTAAATAATTGAAATTTTAAAGCATGTTTGATAAGACTTAAACCCATGATATTTTATTTTCATATATTGCTTAATTACCACTAATCCATTTCTTTACTTGTGTTATTTAATATCTCTTTATATATATATATATATAACATATATTTTAAAGAAAATGTAAATTAAGAGACTTAAACATTTGTTTTAAAAATTAAGAAATTTGTCATCATCTACCATATTTAATTATATAAATATTATATAATATAATATCTACCATATAATATTTATATGATTCATAATATATATACATATATGTCATATCATCACAATTCAACCCCAGTTGAACATCTGACCATGAACCTTTCCCTTCTCTAATTTTATGCCCAGTCCAATTCTCTAAATATTGATTGTATTTGGTCAACCTCAAATTGAGTTTAAATTGATAAACTCAGGCTTGACCTCGAATTCGGCCAGGCCTGAGCTGAGGTTTGCATCTTAGGGTTGGACTTGGATACACTCCCAACCCGATCCAACATGCCCAAGTTGCAACTATAATGTTCTTTCATAGTACTAAGTTACGATCTGCAACGTGGCCATCCCTTTAGCCATGTTGAAACACAAGCTATTCATCCTTTGGCCATATGAATTTTTCACCACGTGCATCACGTGCATTTATAGACATATTTGGGTTAAGCCGAGACAGGGTAGATCCCGGTCCAAAACATACTTTATTTTGTCGAATGGTCCAAAACGCACATACACAAAAACTAAAGAAACTATCTATTAATCTATTATTAAGTAGAGGTGTAAAGTGGACTGGCTGGCCGGCACGGCCCACGGCCCAAATATGTGCAGGCCCGTGCTGTGCCTTGCCGTGCCGCGAGCCAGACTGGCCCGTGGGTCAAACCTTAGTTTAAGTCGGGTCATGGATTGGACCAAAGTTATTTTTATCTATTTATTTAAAATAATTGAAAATTTTTTAAATTTTAATTTTATATGAATTTTGATGTATACAATTGTTTTATATATACAATAATTAAATAAATTAATATAATAAAATTGAAAATAATTGTTTATTTTATTAATATATTATTATGTAATTATAATTTATATAATATATTATATTATATATAACATATATAATATATATAGTATATATGGGCCATGCCAACACACAGGCCGCGGGCGGCATAGCCCACAAACCTAAAACCCTAGGCCTAGCATGGCACGAACCATTATGCCGGGCTTGACATGACCCGCATGCCATCGTATTGGCCAGTCCAAAGTCAAGCCGGGCAGTGCCGAAACGCAGACGGCACGACACGATTTACACATTTAGGCTAATTCTCTTGTTTTCTTGTTAAAACATCTTAAATCGGTCCGGAAGGGGTAAAATAATTCCAAACTGGGCGTCACTGAGCAATATTGCTAATTGGTTCGGGTCGATCGGATTGAAGCAGACCCAGACCATTAACAACCCTAGTTTACATAGGAGGAGTGGATGACCCATCTCGACCGGATCCGATCGGTGACAAGAGCATCGCAAGTTTGCGACAGAAGCTCTCGGTCTTTGAAAAGGATATGCGAAGAACCAATTTTTGTGCTGTCTAGTCTGTATCTCCCTCTTTACTTCTATTCTCTCTCTCTCTCAAAGCTCAGCCAAAGCATCAGAATGATAAAGCGGCAATTCTACAAGCAAGAACACGCTGATAGGGATGTTTCTGATTCCTCGTCGTCTTCTTCAGACTCAGATTCAGACGTCAGAGCTCGGGAAGAAGAAGATGAAACAGAAGAAGAAATCGAAGCAGTTGCAGAAGAAAAAGAAGATGAGGATACTTATTCTCCATCTCCTGGTTCGTTTTCATACCTGTTCCTTTTCTGTTTCTACTTACATTTGAAATATGCTTTCTGTCATCTGATGCTCACATTAGTTGGGTTTCATTGTTTTTTGATATAATCATACATTTTCTTTGTTTTTCTTTTCATTTATATGGGACGGGTTTTGGTTAGTTTGGAGATTTTGGGGCTTCTGGTTTCCTTGTTGTTTGATATTGTATTCTAACTTGGTCAATCTGATGGTTCTTGGTGTTTTTCGGGATATTATTATTTACCATCTTGAAGTTTCTATTTTTCTGTCTGGTTGAGGTTTGTGTTCAAATAACCAATGTTCATTATGAAGTGAAAATGCTGTTAATCTATTTCGGTACTATTCTTATATGGGTTTATGATTTTTGTGTTGTTAAGGTTTATACAACTTCCATTGCCATTTGTTGTTATACTAAAATTTCCATTCTCTTTCTCTGTTTTAGTGGGTAACTTGGGATTATAATTTTAGTTAATTTTGTAGTTTCCTTTCTTATTTTCTGTATGTATTTCATGCTGTTTTCTTTCTTCAGTGTGTTCTTCAACATCAACATTTTTTTTGTAATGTAGGTTATCCAGAATACCCTCTTTTCACATTATAATTGTTTATTTATTCATATGTCTTCTTTCCTCTTTATCCTTAATAGGTTCTGGATACGTGAGTGAGGATAGCTCAGGGAATGATGTTAATGTTGACTCATCAGGTAGGCATTGGGTATCATAGTTGTATTGTTTCTGTTTCATGTACCTATGAGAATCGTATAACTGTTTTAAAGTGGAGATTTTTTATATAACTAGAGCCTAGCCACATGCCTCTGAAATTGTATCATGTCCATGCTTGAAATTTGAATGCAACAGAATTTTGATTGAAGATAGAAAACCTGATTATCATTCACTTATTTTTTGGGTGCTTTACAAGTGAATGTTGGAGCTTGCTACTGCATGGACTGTGTCACCAATCTAAGTTACCGGCTTTATCCATCTTATCTTTCATTGTACCAACAATGGTGCTGATTGCTACAGATGGTTACCATTGAAATGTGAAACATAAGGATATGATCTTTTTCTTTATTCTTGTTTCGCTTTTCTCCGTTATGAATATTCTATTCACACATATGGTACTGAAATAAATGAAATATATTCAGTTTCAGAGTGATTGACTGAGAATGCAAATAACAAATTGGCAATCACAAATCTAAAAGTATGGTTAATGCCTTTTGGTCTTGAAAGATATTATCAACTAAAGGTTTATCACTAGAAAACCCTTGATTAGTATGAGCCTAAATTTCCTTTTCTGGCAATAAGATGATCTGTCTTCTCTTTGGTGGCAAAATTCTGATGTGGGCAAAGGCATCTTCTTTTCTTGCTGTATAAAAGTGGTTAAGTGGCATATTTAAGACAAACATTATCAATCAATATAATTGCACATTATGAAAGCTACATCCTTTATATGGTTAGATTGCATTTACACAAGTCCTGTACAATGATTTAAAAGGCGTGCCTAGGCGCACAGGCGAGGCACATTTTAGGGTAGGTGCCTCACCCAGGTCATAGGTGCAGTACTTTTAAAAGGTGCACGCCTAGTGCGCCTAGGTGTGCACCTTGCGCCTTGGCCCAGGCATCTGAGAACCCCCTATTTGCTAATGTTGTTCATTCATTCATCTTAATAAAACATCTTCTTAAAAGGCAATTAAAATTATAAAATCATTATTTTTTGTGTGAGAATTAAGAATTTAAGACCCGAACATGGACTTGTTTGGGCTTGCCTTGAGGGGCGTGGCACAAAGGCGACTTTTAGAATCAGAAATGTAATATGTTTTACATCACATTAGCAACTTGAAGTAATGCAATTGAGGAAAAAGAGATTGTGGGCTTTACATGCTTGAAAATGTTTTATATGTTTCATTTTATTTTTAAATTTTCATTTGAATATGCTTTACATGTTATGTTTATGTATTTTAATTTTAGATAATAGGTTTTTTAAACCATTAATTTTAAAACTTATGTTTATATTTCCTATTAATATTATGTTTAATACTTTTATTTTTTGAATTTTTTTGGCATTTTTTAGCAATTTTTTGTATTTTTGCGCCTTGCTTTAAAAGGTGTGCTCCTCGCCTTGCGCCTCTCACCTCAGGTGCAAATTGGCCCTTGTGCCTTACGCTTTTAAAACACTGATCCTATATAAAAAAAAATTAAAAGAACAAAGAAGCCTAGGATTTTATAATGCTGCTTTTGAATCACAAAAGAAATGAAAATGGTGAAGAAATCCAGGACCAAATTGTTCAAGTTTCTGAATTTCACCTTTGACTCTGCAAAATCTTTTGATAGGCTTTGGGTCTGCCGTCTGCAAAGGTATCTGCAGAATCTGAAAATTCATGGGACTCACATTGTGTTTTTCACTTTTTTGCCGGGGTTGTAAATTTGCCATTTGGATACCCAATGAACAGTTAAGGCCTGAATTTCAACTTCATTAGTCTGGTCATCAAGCTTGAACATCTTCAAGATTAACAAATGCTCAGCCCAGGCACAGCCATTTACACTTTCTATTTTCTGTGTTTTTGGTTGGTTTCAAAATCTTGAAGAGGTACCATTTTGCTTCAGCTGTTTTTAGGGGAGATCCAAATTAGTTTCCATCCCCTTAATCCAAGTACATATTTCATGCTGAACATATATCGTATTGTTAAAATAAGGATATTAATTCATAAGAAAGCACAATAAGCATAAAGGTATATTCTGATAACAAGGACTAATTGGATTAATAAGAAGAAAAAAAATTGCTCCAAATCTTAGAACCAGTGAAATAATTTAACAAAGGCAATCGTGGGATAACAAGGTTATTAGCCCCAATATGGAGCAGCCCAGTTACAGCATTGCCACTTAGCTGAAGGGGAATGGCTAACAATGCTAGGAATACTATTTCTTTTCTCTCCTCCACTCTCAAAAGAACAAACGCCTGGGAAAAAATGCTCCTTCCCTTTCTTCCTAACACCCTAACAGAGCCAACCCAAAATCATTGTATCTCCTTCAAAGAGGTTATGGAGGAAGTGACGACAGAGCTTGTTGTGGCACTACTAACAGCATCGTAGGATAATAGAGAGGATGGTTGGCAATTAGAATGTTCATGTACCAAGTATTGTACAGGTGAGTGTAATATTCTGAGAGCTGTTTAATGGGAAGACTAACAAGCCAATGCCATGCAAAATAACTGAATGAGGCTGCTTATTTTTTTTTTTTTTATCAAATGACGGAGGATTAAAAGGTAAAATGGTAGAGGCAAGGGAACTAATAGAGAACAATTGACCCAAAGAGGAGGCTAGGGTGCATTGCAGGTAGGATGATTATAAAATAATGACCATGGACAGTGAGAAGTGAGATCTCTGAAAGAGCTCACAGGATTGAGAAGAAGACATCTAATCCAGATTTCCTCTTTCCTTTTGTGGCACTTTCTTTTAATAATTTGACCTTTATAAAAAGTGACTTGGATCTGCGGAAACTGGTTACAGAGGTATGCCATGTGGCACCAGGGCATTGAGTTGTCCAGGGAGAGGAGCAAACAGCCCTGTCACCCTATCATTACACTTTAACAAGTGCTGAACTTATGGATGGGTTGTTCAAATCGCCTAGTAAACCAACTAGAAACTTAGGTGCCATGCCTTGCTTGATTGGCCTAGGAACTTCGTTCTGAAGTTTAGTTGTCCAATAGGAACAATTGTTACCATTTACCAATCATAAAAAAAGAAATCAGGCGGGCGGAATCATGTGAGATATAGAGATAGAGGACCGCGAAGTTCGGATAACTCATTAGGTTAGTAACTGTTCATGCTACTACAAGGCTCAAATTGGCCCACATGTTGTATCGAGTAGGATTGAATATTGAAAGTGATCAGATGGTTTTCCTTAGAGTCAGAAGGAACATGGGATTCAACTGAATTGGCCCGTGCAAAGTGCAGTCTGTGCCGTGTTGGCCCGTGGGCCAAGCTAGGCCTTACTTCCCTCCCCTGGGATACTCTGGGGGGTCGGTCCAGCACGGTCCACTGCCCGAGTCCATGCGGGGGTTGGGCTGGTCCGCGGGCCAAGTCTTGGGCTGGGCCGGGCCAAGCCATGTTTTTTTAACAATTCTGAAAAAAAGTAATGAAAAAATTAATATAAATTAAAAAATAGACAAAAAATAAAACAGATCTTAAAATTTTGTTTTATATGAATTTTTATGTATACAATTGTTTATATATTCAATAATATGATAAAATTGAAAATAAAATTATATATTAATAAAATATTATATTATTATTATATATAATATATATAAATATATATGGGCCATGCCAGGCCTGCATGTGGGCCGTGGGCAGCATGGCCCACAGTTTGTCGTGCCGGGCCAGGCTGGGCCGGTTCAAAATCGCATCGGGCCGTGCCGGGCCGCAGGTGGCATGGCCCAATTTACACCTCTAATGATAACGAAACCTACTAGCTAGGATCTTGGCAAATTGGTTGAATTTCTTATTCAATTGGGTGCTCAAATTGGCTACCAGCATAGCAGAATTACTAGCAAGAGTCAGGGTCAACAGCATAGCAGAATCACTAGCAATTGACTTCCATCTTTCTGCAATAAAGTTTTTCTCCTCTTAATATAATATCTTATCATACTATGATAAAAAAAATGCTAGTGCTATGGCAAGCTTTAGCTGCTATGAATTCCATAGACAATAGAAATGGCAATAAAATGAACAAAACATTAGAAACGCACAGTGCTCCCATGGATCGTGCTTGAGCCATTCATAACAGCTACACTGGGAAGTTTACTGTAGAGCTAGAGTTCCTCTTTGGTTTTATGAAGGCTGTTGGAGACTTGTTTATTCTTGCACTAGATCTGGTATTATAGTAGGGCTTTAAAGTTCTTTCATGCAGTAGAAACAGTAATAAGTTAAATTGTGCAAATAGACCATATTCTTTTGATGGGTGCATATAGATCATATTTTGACAATAATAGTTAGCATATGTCTCTTGCATAGAGCTAATGAATTTACATGATATTCAACACTTTTGACATGAATCATCATTTTCCTATCCAATTTTTGTTCAAACTATTAATAATACAATATGATCGCATAAAGTGCATTTACTAATCAGCTGTACTATTTTGAACCTTGAAGTTTAGTTATTCTTATTTGAATTTCTGCTGCATTTTGCCACAGAGATAGAACTGTAGGGGTAGATAATTAGTCTCTGGCTGGACTTTTCATTATCTGAAAAACTGGTTTAGGTATAAGAGCAGCCACTCTTTGCAGAAAATGCGAAAGGTAAGGTCATATTCATTATTCAATCCACCCCTCTGGCCCTCCCAAGGCCCTGGATAGCCAGGACCAACGTTGGGTAATGGCCATTTTATAGGTAAGGTGTGCTGAATTTTTTTTCAGTACATTGCACACCCATGTGGAATTGTGGAGGTCAAATTCTCCTAGTGCTTGTCAACTTTTACATCCATGCATTTCATTTCTAATTCATTGAATTTGGCCTGGCAGTATGGCACTGTTGTCCCTATATGAATATATGTCATTCTCTTTCTGCTGTCAATCTTAATGGCCTTGTTGGGATACCCTTGACCACTTTCAGGGTGACAACCTTACGTATCTGATCCCTTTTTTTTTTTTTTGACACAGGTATTTACCTCTTTAGATGTCTAACTATGTTATGCAATGACCAGGTATTCTAATAAATGATGATGATGACAGTAGGGAATATGAGACACAAAATCTTGATGAGAGTAGATTATCTGGTAGAGGCAATGCAGAGAAAAAAGGTTCTACTCAAGCCAACTTTCCAGACTTTATCTTGAAATGCAAATCAGTCTTCAAGTGTAGGCTCTGCCCCAGAATTGTCTGTTTGAGTGAGGAAACTTTGAAGGCACACTTCAAATCAAAGGTAATATATCACTTTTGTGGGCATTTCTTTTCTATTAAAAATGAATAATTTAACAAGACACTTTATTTTTAAAATTTTTGTTCATGAAAATAGCATGAAATTAGACTTATTCATGGGCCGGGCTTGGGCTTGGCTTTTGCCAAAATTTCAATTGGCCCAGCCCGAAGCCCAACCCCGACACAGTGTAAAGTCAGGCCTGAAGCCCAGCCCATGAACAGGTCTACATGAAATACATTTGTATATCGATTTCTTATTGTTGCATGACACAAACATTGGAATCAGAATCTGACACATGTCCAAGAGTCTGACTCAGCAAGATGAGAAAACATGGCCAACTTCCCAGACACATCTATGGAAAAGTATATACTATTACAATAGTTCAGATTTTTAATTCTAACATTATATACAGGCAAAAAGGGGCCTAACATGTTGCCTTTGTTACCAAGTAACACTTGATATGAAAAATGGCATTCATCTTGTGCATTAGTTGTTCATTTATGTCAAACAGGCAAGTGGATAAAAAGGAACTGCCACATGGAAGCATCCTCAAGAATCTGTGGGGTGTCAGACTCTGACATGACCAACACATACATGTGATCCATTTAGAAAAGTCCTTGCAACACTAATTTCAGTATGTTGTCCAAATAAATTCCTATATGGTTTAGAGAAGAAGACTGCATGGAAAAGCAGTTATAATCCTCTGTTGGCATTTAGATTCTTAATGTTTCTTTTGTCACATTGTGATATTTCAAACCGTTGAATGGACCTATACCTATTCDAGAACAATTGGATGATGACAAAATTATCAAAGATTGGCATTCCTTATTTCTATTCAACAACGTAATGTTGCCCTCAGCTGGTGCATACTGGATGAATGAAAGATTGTTTCTTCCATTTTTCTTAGAAGAAATTGAAACCATCTTTCTTGTTTTGGTGACAAATGCACATATGCCAAGTAATGCATTTAACAAGGCACTAATCTGCCCTCCTACATGCCTATTACCTTTTTGATGAATACATGCCTATTACCTTGGATTATACCACTCATTTTTAAGGTTTCTGGTTTACATCCAAGTAAATATTCAATCTAGCATGTCTCATTCAGTAACAACTAAGTTTGTCTTGGATCACAACAGCTCTTTTTACTGCAAGCTATAGCTATTGCTCAATTCTAACCACTAGTTTTGGATGGACTTTATCCTTGCTTGAAACTAGTATATTTCCTTTATTTGCAATCAGCCAATCCTGCAACACCTTGATCTTTTGGCATTCTGCATGTGTATTTTACAAGAACTTTCCCTCAACTTTCCGTTTCTTTTATTTTCTATCAAACCAAATACAACCAAAGTATCCAAGTTTTAACAGGTTAAAGGAAACCTCTTTTTTTGTGTATGGCTGTACAGGTAGATAAGGTTACCCTTCTGGATATTGGTCACTGTTAGGCTCAAGTTTTAACTAGCCCCAATTGGAGGTTTTGTTGGATCATGCATGAAGTGATTCACTTTCTTCCTCTGCAAGGGATCTGTTAGGATGAACTTGACCTTAAATTAAGTCACTAGTCCTTTTTGAATTTGGAATGCCAGAAGATGGAGCAAGGGTCTTTCAAATTTCAGTGCTCAGTGCTGTATTCCATTAAAAAAATCTGAAACTGGTGTAGTCCATTCTTTTGAAGAGTTTTGAAGGCTTTTTTTTTTTGAATTTAAGTAGCTAATCTCCTCGCAACTTCAATGCAAGGGAAAAAATGGTTCATGTGAGTAAGGAGGAATGATATTTTACACAGCAACATCACAGCTAGGGGATTACCCCTGAAGATGTGATGTCTGATAAAAGTGATGTAAAGTCCATTGTTTGGTTCACTGAGGAACGATACTATCCCTGCGTAGTTCCTATGGCCAAGCTTTTCACCCTTTGACTTGAAGTGCAGGCTATTTGTGAATAAAAAAAAAAAAAGTAAAAGTAAAAAAGGTGCATTGTCAATCATAAAGCTGGAGTTATACTGGAAATTTCTACAATGCTATTCATTTAGAGCAAAAGAATTATGTTTATGCATTAAATACATGCCATCTATCACACATGGATAGAATTTGTTTATCTAGATGGGTTGCATCCTCTTCTTCCAGATGTTTGTTTGGCTACAACCATTGCTCATGTTACTTTTATTTTTTGCATATTTCATTGGATTTGCTTTAGAGGCATGCACGCTCTGAGAAGTTACTAAGTGAAGGGAGGTTGAAGCTTATGCTCAACAGTGATGGCGAAATTGAGGAAGAACAAGAGACCCATGCAGAGAGACATGCCAGAATTGTTGCTGTTGCAGAGGTTGGCATGATCTTAAATTAGCAGCATCACATTCATAAAATAAAAGGTGGTTACATGTGAATAAGCTCTTGTTTTGCTCATTTCTTTCAGGAGTTGTCTAATGCAAAGAAGAAAAACAGGGGGCGGCAGCGACAGAGGCAGAGGTTAAAAAGGAAGGTAATATAACACCCTTATTTGGAGATCACGTCTCTTTTAGACATTAGGTAGATTGATTTTATTTTAATCAATAATAGGCAGATTGATCCTTTTACACAAATTGCAGAAAACTGGGGATGGCTCTGATGAGGGGAAAAGAAAGCAATCAATAGAGAACCCAACTAATAAAAGGCACAAGGACAAAGATTGAAGGATATTATATTGTGCCCGGGAATGCAATGGTAATGCTATTTAATGGAGAATCAGTTTGTTGTTTCAATTGATCCAGATTGATCTGTGTCAGTTTTCTTCTTGTTTGCCAATGGTATGCACGGATGAAGTGATCAGTAAGAACGCAGTTTTTGTCTTTGTATGGCAAAGCGGGAATTGTACACTGCACATGTTTAGAAGTAATATCGTGAGGCTTTCTTATTTCATAATTTATTACCAAAAGATTTTCTTTCATTCTTTTGTTTTTGGTGCAGTTTTTTTTTTTTCCTGGTTCAAACGCCAAAGAAATGTATGCTGTCCACCTTAATTGCCGTCCAAACCGTTTGATGTCAATACAGAAATGCGAGTCTGAATGGATGGTTCAGTTTGGATGAGTAAAAATACAAATATGGACAGTGCATTATAAGGTTTAGAAATACAATATACAAGGTTTTGCACTTACATTCTTCTCAAACTGAGCCGAATCAGTTTGGAAGGAGCACAATTATAAATATATAGAGTGAAACATTGTATTTTGTATATATTTGTACTGTACATATTTGTATTTGTACTTGAAGAAGCAACATAACTTACAGTAACACCATGGACCTGTTCATTTTTTGGATTTTGAGAGGGAGAAATTGGTCAATGGGATTTTGTTCTCATTGACCAAGATATCCATGGTTTTTTTTTTCAGATTTATGGAAGATTCACGGAAAAATTATTTTTCTTGGTACCCATCTCCTAAGTGAGTAAGCAATTTTTTCATCTGGGAGAAAGTTGCCAATATTTGGATAGGACAAAATTGCTCCTTTCAATAATGGATTTTTATGGTTAAAACGGTTATTGTCTTATCTACTTGGAAAATAAAAGACCATAGGTAAGTATAAGTATTTCTCAGATAAGTGAATTTTTTTTATCGCTTCATGGGGTTACACAACAGGGGTAGCCCATCCCCTTTCCTTAATCACATATTTTTCTCTTTTTCTTCTGACACCAATATGAAGAATTACATGATGTAGTGACACCAGAATGCTGTTCTGTTACAGAATCAGATGAATTTGGTGGTAAGTTGCTTATATTTTTGGCTCAGATTAATCAGTAATGGACCAAACGCGCACGCAAATTTTAATGTTATTAGGATAATCAGGATAATTGGGTCTGATTGTACTGAAAACTATATTTATGTATCTAAATAATAATTAAAACTTGATAAACTAATCTTAATAAAAATGAAAGTAAAATTTTAAACTAGTTTATATTTTAATAAATCAAATATTTTTAACTAATATTATTTTATATATTATTTATTAAATTTACCATTTTAAATATAAAGTATGATAAAAATATAGGAAAATTAAGAAAACCTTATATGATAAATTAATCAGTTTGGTCTGAATAGGTTTGAGACAAGCAGGAATTGAAACTGATCCAATTATTAATTGAGATAAAATCATAGAACCAGATCAACATAATCAGTTCAGTTTGGGCAGTCGGGCAGAACAAATCCATTGGCAATCCTAAAAGAAGTATTCCTGTGCCAACCAAATATTAATTCAAGTTGGATTAATCCAATCCAAACTTGTATCGCACTTGTGATTATATATACTTGTATACTATGTACGCTGCAAGAGTGTTTATGTGAGGGGAGGAAAGAGGATGGTGATAAAAGGTAGCCCATTGTGAAATAATATAATGTTTGTAAGATTTTTATATATAATATGTTGTTTGAAGGGCTAGGGGTAGACAAAAAAGGATATTGGTAGTAGGGTTCATTTAGCCAATCGCATATAATTGCGATCAGATGTGTTTGATTGTAATATGATAGTATGTTTTGCTTATATGCTTAAAATGCATATTATATCTATTAATAAATCAATTCGGTTAAGGGTGACCCAAATTGGATCCATAGACTGAACATGGATCCACCCGTATCTGATTTATGGTCTATTAGTTAGTAATGTTGGTTTGAATGTCGTATTTTACTTTAGAGTCATATATTCAAGTTTCATTCAAAGTGATTTTCAATTTATTGTGTTCATGACATACAATATATCAGTCTTTTTTTAGTTCATTCTATTGGCAATATATAATATGTTGATCATTTAAGCTTAATTTATTAATGCTAATTTCCATCTAAATTCAATATAAATCCGATAAATAAGGTGTGATTCAAATCCTAATGTTAACGAATAAAATCTGGATCTGAGTATATCCAATCCAATGACCCAATTCAACCCATTGCCCAAATACCACAAATTGATGTCCAATTACCCACAAGGCCTTACCTACTCAGTTAACAGTGTAAGTACTCAAGCATGGACTCTGAGAAGAATTAGAGTAAGTTATTTTAATCATTCTTTCCATGAAAATATTTTTTTTGGGGAAAAAAAAAGCATTTGGTTGTAGTAACCTTTTCTCATTCTGCCCATTTACATCCAATTTTTTTCCATTCTAAAATTTTATTATTGAAAAGAATGAACAAAAATGAAAATTGAATAAAAAATGACCTTAATATTTCACTAAATTACATCATTAAAATTATGATTGCTAACATGATTTTAAAAACCGGACCGGCCCGGATGGTCAGACCAGTTGGCCTAGGAACCCGTCACGGCTCCGGGTCCAGTTTTGGACTTCAAAACCATCTGGGTGGGGTTTGGAATGGATGATCGGATCATTTGACCCAGGAACTAGAGGTCAAAGCGATTTCATTTCCGGGCCAGTTTATAAAACCATGATTGCTAACTCTACTAATCCACTGCACCATCCGGAATTCGGTAATGATCAGAGAAGTTCTGGTGGCTCTTCTATAGTATGCCAAGTTGCACCTCCGAAATTTGGTAACAGAATCAGAGCACCAGAATATTGGGCCGTTTTTTGAACAGAAGCAATTTGTTCCTGTTCCTCTAGGGCCGATCTGGGTCCAAAGCCTAAAGTGGGTCCAGTTCTTCTTTTCCCCAGTCCTCTCTATTTTGCAAATCTCTATCCAATAAACTAATCCATGCCAATAACAATCCACCTTCGATTCATAATTTCTTATTTATGAAGTCCAGTTCTTTAAGGGGTTCGCATGTTGATGTGGCATGGATGTAAGTTTAGAATATCTATGCAAATCCACTTTGATTCATATTAAGTCGATCTGTAATCTAACACTAGCTTTAGTTTCTATTTGTCGTGACACAAGTCCCTTTCTCATGAATTATGAATTCTCACGTCTATTCGACATGGATTAGGCGTTAATGAAACATTTTACAGTAATCTTTCATAGTAAAAAATTCAACTTTTGACAAATCCAATAACCATTTGGCACGTGGCATTTCAAACATTGGTAATCAACTGTTGGTCGTCCAGTATGCATTATTGCATTTATCATTTGTTTTTGTTATTTGGATTGCAACATTTAAATCCGCACCACCACGGTTAAGCGAATATCTTCCAAACTAATCTGTTTCAGAACTCAATTTCAACATTTCTCTTTGAATAATATAAAACCTACATTCCAGACCTTCAGTCGAGGCATCACCAAGTTGGCATCAAGGTTTTAAAAATTGAATTGGACAACGAACCGGTCAGAGGTCCAGTTATCAGATAGAACGGTCATATCATTTAAATATGCATATAATTATGTATATTATATATTTATTTACATTATTTAAAATTTATTATAAAAATAAAAAAACCAAAAAATGACAAACTGAACCAATAAATAACCAAACCAGTCAACCGGTTAACCAATTGGCTTTGATTTGGTTTCAATTACCAGTTTTCCAAAGTTCTCCAAAAACTGATAGTACCGGTTCAGTTCCAAAAAAATGCCCCACGGTTCGATTAACCGAACCGTGAGCACCCCTAGTATAAATGAAGGCAAGAGTGCAAGACCTTCATTCTCATTGCCTAACCAATGTGAAGACTTGGAAAAGCACTTATATTAGTGCTAAGCCCAGCCCATGATCACCCCTAGTTGGCATTCAAAACTCCAAATCTCAAGCTTTCTTTATTTAAACTTAGAAAAATATTATATCAATAAATCTAGTAGCAAACTGAGATTCGGTTTTCAAAGAAACTATGATTGTATGAAATTAGAGATTTAGAATTTAGGAAATCAAGAGATGGAAATTTAAAAAAAAAATGCATGTTAAAATGGCACTTTCATAAACCAATCACAGCTTATCATTTGGAAATACTATTGTTGCTAACACTCCTCAGTCCCCTCTTTTGGAAAATGTCAAGACAACATATATGAACATGCGTAAGGGGACAAGGGATCCATGTTGGTAAACTTCTACCAGGAGATTAAATAGTAAACTGTTTTATCAATGAATTACATTCAAAGAGAACCCATCGAAACACAAAAGTTTCACAAGATTGTCATCTGCATGAACAGTCGTAGCTAAATAAGGATTACCAGAAATAGCTTGAATCCAGTGAACCAAAATTCTGGGTAATTAACATGGTTGCCTTCTGAATATGATTCAGAATCCCAGCAAGCTGATTTTCACCTGCAATGATCATCACAATTGCCACCTTCCAAGAAAAAATTGAAGGCCTGAGATTGGCAAATGGCAAATTTGATTGGAAAACTAAGATTCTCACTTGTCAGATGAATGTTCTGGTGAAGGTGGTGGTTGTTCTCCATTCACATTTGTTTCAGAAGGATGATCAGGTGAATGAGCTGCCTGTCCTCCATTTTCATTAGTCTCTGGATGGAAATTGATGGGGAATTTTGTCACTCTGGGCTTGTCAGCCAAAATATTTCTCTGCACCCTATCTATCAGAACCTTCGGTGGAGGTTCCTCTCTTAGCTGCTCATCATCATAATCATTGTTAACATAGTAGCCCACTCTGACAAACTCTTGTCCTAGATAAGAGCATGTCAACAGAAGCACTGTTACTCCAATAATATCTTCCTCACGGATCTTTGATGGATCTGGAGGGTCCGCCTGGAAAAGAACCCATATTTGTTTCAATACATATGCAAAAGAAAAATATAAACTCAAATTTACGGATTTCTTTCAAGGAGTTATTGGAGATTGCCTGGAAAACAAAACGGTAGTTGCCAACATTGACAGGTCCAACAAGAACACTCTCTAAAAGTTGGTCATAAGTCTCATCCTCAGCAGATCCTACGTAAACAAGTTTCCATTCCAAGTCTGCACACAGATAAAACAGACAATAAATTGTTATATATAGCCGTGATATTAAACAGCATAATGCTAATAAGACCAACCAGAAAGCTGACTTAGAATTGGGTAATTATTATAGAGCAAACAGAATGCAATAGACAAATTTCCCAGAATATACAATTTTATTACAACTTAAAACTAAGTCATTAGCAAAAGAACAATTCATTAAAATTTAAAAACCATATGCTCCATAAAGAGTTTTCCCCAATGTTTGATTATGTACACTTTAAGATTAAATATATTTCAAAATTGTGGTCCTTAATAAAGTAGTAAACCCCATCTCTTAGGTTGCTGGCTTTGTGGTATCAAATTGCACATGGCATTAGAGGATTTCTAAAATGCAAACTAAAATTGCATACCAAAGCAAGTTCTTGGCCAATTAAAATTACACTAGAAAMCCTCAATTMCCAGCCATAAGTGTGACAGGTAATGGATCAGAACATCAACCAAAGGATGGCCCTAACACTTGAATTTGGACCCCTTTTGCAGGTAATGACTTTTTATGACCAAATTTAGTCATAAAAAGCCATTAATCTCCCTGGTTTGATAAGGGCAGCACAGTGCACAAGGCTCCTGCCAATGCAGGGTCTGGAGAGGAACAGATCTCCCTGATTTGATCAAACAATATAATAAATCCAGTCTCCAACTTTAAGTTGCAACATTTTCAAAATCAATAAAATCCCAAATAATATTGCAATTTTGCAACATAACATCCCTGTTATAAAATTGAGAAAGCAGAAGGGATTATGGTTTATACTATATATATGACTCAATCTTATCCAGTTAATGGTCCTTGGTGCCCATAAGTTCCTTTCTAGTTTCTACCAAAATCAAACAGAATTGCCTTGTATTAAATTATTTCCAATTATCACAAGGGCAGAAAACCCTAAAGCATATAAATACATGTCCAACTCTTAATCCTTGAGCAGTGACTTAATTCTACAAATTCATATAAGATATTGCATAGAGTACCTATAACATAATATATTATGAGCATAGTTTTCAAGGCGCCAAGGTGAAGCTAGGCAATAGGGGGCACCTTGTCACCCAGTCACCTTGGCAATTATATTTTTTTACATGAACCCTAGGTAATACCCTAGGTTTCATGACAACAAGCAACCAGCAACCATCTTCCATTGCAAATTATCTATAAACTTCATAAAAAAAGTATTGCACCTCTAAAAGTTAAATTCTTTTCTTGGGTGGCCACAAGGGAGAAGTGCCTTACAAAAGAAAGTGCTGCTAAGGGCTTTATTGTACCAGACTTGCTGTACCCGCTATGTGGCTTTGACACCAAATCCTCATATCACCTTTTCATTCACTGCAGGTTTTCAGCAATAGTATGGAATCACTTTATAAACTCAGTCCAATTAAACCGGTGCTTTCCACTTCCAAGGGCAGTGAAAGAACTCTTACAAGGATGCAGGTTTCTCAGGCATGTCCAAAAAATGGAAGATTTTTAGGCAGCTATGCAAATGCAGTATGGCTATTTGGATTCAAAGAAGTAGCAGGGTTTTAAAGCAGAAAGAAAAATCAGAGGCAGGGGTGATTAATTTTGTAGCAAAAGGAACTAAAGGGCTGGATGACTATATCTGATGTATTTTAAAATGATTTTTTTCTGCTACTTTTTTGAGAATGATATTTTGGGGGCTCTTAAATGTAATTATATCTGCACAGCATCTCATTGTACAGGATCATTGACCTTTTGATTTGATGCTAATACAATATACTTAACCTTTTCTCACAAAAAAAAATCATAAAAAAGTATAAGATTCATATTAAAACATAGAAAAGCAACATATCTATGAGAAGAAAAAGAACTAAGCAGTTTGACTATTTCAAGTCATATCCTTTTTAGTAAAAAAAAGTTCCTGATACCAAGGGCAAGAACTAAGCAGGACATCTTATGCCTCATGATCTTACCAGCATATCTAAATACCTTAGACAAAAAATAGCATCAGGCTATTAGTTATGTCATGATCGTTCAATGAAAGTTTTGCCCATAAATTTACTAGTTTTAATGTAAATTGTATTAATATCAAAAGATGTGTACAGCTACCAGAGTTGCTTCGTTTCAACATTTTTGCCCTTCAAGCAACTATTACATTAAATATCATTTTATTAATCATTTCTTCTCCTTAAAAATTGGTTTTGTAATTTTGTCTTCAAAGTGAGATATTAGATGCTATTATCTATATGCATTCGCAATTTATCAGCTTTTCAAATACGGGAAACTCCACCCTTTTTTTTGATAAGTTGGGAAACTCCATCCTTTTGCTTTATCTTTTATGGCAGATAACTATGACTCGGTGTAGAAATATTTTTTAATCTATAACTACAATCAAGGAAGATCTTATCAATGCTTTAGATGGGAGGAAATAAAAACTTCTGCTAAACATTAATAACAGGAATAGAATGAGATACAACCAGAATTTAACTGACAAAATGTAAAACCAAATGAGTTTTGTTGCAAAGAGCATTTATACAAATAGTCATTTGTAAAATGTCTCCGTATGGTGGATTATGGGTGCAAATGAAAGATCTTAGAGACAATGAGACAGTGAATGAGATAATGAAACTGATTACCAAAGCCTTAACCTCTCTAACAAGAAATTTAATGCACCATTTAAAGAATGAGATCGAAAGTAATAATCAAATTACATTTTATGCCATCACGTCAGAGAGGGATCAAATTCAAAAACAAGAGTATTTTAGTCAAGAAAAATGTTTTTCATGGTTGTATGCTTCAAAGGAAAAGACCAAATCAGTGCTTGTCCCCTAACTGGTGTGTCCTGTGTAAATTGAATGGTGAGACTGTTTTCAACCTTCTTATATCTTGCCCTTTTGTCAGTTTTATTTGGAATTGGTTTACTTYCCTTTTTGGGTGCAGGTGGTCCTCTCCTGACAGGGTGGAAGGCTTATTGAATCCTAATGGTATCAGTGGTAAGACAAGGAGGGGAAGGATTCTTTGGAGGTATACTAGAGCAGCAATACTTTGGACCGTCTGGGAGGAAAGAAACAATAGGATATTTGAAAGTAAAAAAAAAAATGCAAGGAAGCTTTAGTTGAAACAATAACATCGAGGGTGGCTCATTGGGTAAAAAGTTTGAAGCTGTTTTCAGCCTTTAAGGTTGAAGATTTCTTCAGGGTTTGGAAACTTATTGCTGCTTCATCATCTATGAGACGACAGTTTGTTGAGACTTGGTCCCCTCCAATAGACGATTGGAAGAAGCTAAACTTTGATGGGAGTTGTGTGGGTAACCCAGGCCCTTCAGTATTGGGGGGCCATTAGAAACGAAAATGGTTCCATCATTGCCCTGTACTCCGGTCCTGTGGAGGTAGGTGATGTGACAAGGGCAGAGTTTCTAGCTGCAGTATATGGGGTTGAGAAGGCTAAAGAGTTGGGGATCAATAGATTGATCATCGAGGGAGATTCAAAAACTATAATAAAATGGTTGCAGAAAGGGGAAGGGGTGACATGGCAGTTGAAGAATGATTTCAGAAGATTTAAATGGATGTAGGAACATGTCAATTCAGGTGGGATGGGTAAGGAGATCTGCCAACAGTTTGGCAGATAGCTTAGCAAAGCAAGGGGTTCAAAGAACATATATGTTTTGGGCACATTTGTAATTCTGTACTGGGTCATGTAACTTATTGTTGTATCCTAAAGTATTTTAATCAATAAAAGTTTCAAAGTTATTGATAAAAAAAATAATGTATATACAAATAAAAATGAAACTATATTACTAACCATTGCTTCTAAACACTTCCAATAACCTTTATGACATTTTAGAAGTAGAGATAAGTGCTTTGATATATTATGCATCCATTTGAATGAGTTACAAAACCCTAAGGAAGACCTTGCTATGTTTGGTCATTACCATCTTCATGTTAGATTGAATAATCAGAGAAAGCTACATTCTGTTCCTCATCAAAATAATAATGTATCATTTATAGTTAATGGGGTAAAAAAGTATAGCGAGCACTGTGTATGATACTGAAAGTTATTCTCAAATGATCTCTTTGATAGGGAAAAGGGTAAAATATATATTAACTACGATGTATGCATGGCATAGATGTTGTTCGAAAATGATTGTTATATATCAAATTTTACATTTTCACTCCCAGCACAAGATATTAGTTTACATTTTCCTTGCAGTCTCATGCCAAGCCCTTCATTCATGGCATGAAGGCAGTTCCATTGCCTATCCAAATAAAACAAAACATGGATGAGGGATATTGAGACTTCTCATTGATTCAACTAGAACAACTTACTACTTTTGAACGGTTTTCTTCTATTAATCAACACCTTATATCTATACAACTACCTGAAATATGAAGGAGCTTGTGGAATTTTTTGACTAAAATACCCCTATTTTTTAATTTAATCCCTTTCTAATTATAAGGGCAAAAAATGTATTTCGAGCTACTACTTGTCACTTCATTCAATTCCTTCTTATTAAGTCTTATATTTAACTATTCCCTCACATTAAATCCTAAATTTAAGGTTTTTACATCATCAAAAATTCTATTAATCAGATCTATATCCAATACTTAAACAATATAAGACCTTTTTTAAACTGACTTAAAAATGAAACTGTTCTTATGTCCAAGTGGCTGGTAAGCAATTCATCCAAGATGATCAAATGAGCAAAACTATGATATCATAATTAGATAATRAAAATTAAAAAAGGATGATAAAAACACAAAAAAAAATTATGAAAAATACCTAAATTTTGTAGAAACATTCGGGTACATTTAATATTTCATACACATCTAAATATAAACAATAATCATTTT